CAGTGTTGTGCTTTTTCTCTATATTGGTATGCCTATATATTCCAGAAATCTTTGTGATTAGCTTTGTTACCTAGGAAGATGTTGAAGGGAATCATCTATCATATCTATTATTTCAAACCTTTCTACTGATGATTAGTATCTGGTTATATAGATAAACCACTTTACACTTATCCATTCCTCGGTTGGTATTTGAACTCTTTCCCCTTCGTCCCTATATTGAAAATGCTGCTGTGAATACGTCTGCTCCCCCACCTCCCCTGCTCTGCTTCTCTTTTTCAGTGCTGGGGGTTGAATCTTAGATTATGCACATTGCTATGCAAGCACCCCATGACTGAGCTATATACCCAGCCGTGACCAAACCATGAACACTTTTATACATGTTTTATGTGGACATGATTTTCCATTTCTCTTAATGCAGAAGTTTTTAAATGAAAAATTGTAACTACCTTTTTTATTGTCCCTATGATTAAGGGACAGAATTTTAGAACTGAAATCAGAAACATTAAGTATACCATTTCAAGCCTCTTAAATGTAGAATCATTCATTTTCCTAAATTCTACTATTTCTTAGTAATAGGGCTGTCTCTTGGGGTAAAGTCAGAGCTGGATAACCTTTGATTCCCAGACTCAGAAGCAGGTGTCATGAAATTTCCTTTGCTGTACCAAGTACAGGCTTTGCCCACCACAGGATCATAACTCTTAGCACATCACAATACTCTTTCAAGAGTCTTTACACACAAACTATACAGTTACACACAAACATGAATCAGAGTTAAAGAGTTTCAGAAATTCACAGGGAAGCGGCAGGGAAAGCAACTTCTGAGACACAGGCCAGTAAGAGCCTCGAGCTGTTCTTGGAGTGACTTGGAAACATCCGTCCTGTGTGTCCTGGGCCTGCAAAGAAGAAGAGGGCTCTATATTAATGTATAGTGACCTTCTTCCAAGGAATGCAGAGTGTCTCAAACAAGTTCTCATTTATTCCCTGGAGGGAATAGGCATAAAACATGCATAAGAAATAACTCCTTTTGAAATTTACTTCTCCAGTTAGTGCTGGGCAGAAATACTAGCAAAGCAGACCTTCAGACCAAACATTCCACTACATTATTGTCAGTGTGCTTTATAAATCAATGCATATCCAGAAAAGCAGGGCCTCCACAATAGCCCCATGACCTGGTCTCACTGATAACTGCATTTCTTTCATTGGGATCTAAACTTTTTCTTCCAGACTCTAACCTCCTACTATGACATGCTCCAGGAAATGGAAAGATATCTTACTGTTCATCTACAGTACGTGACTAAGGCTACACATTTCCATGCACAGGTGGTCCTAGGGTTATTTCATCCTCCAGCTTAATCCTCCAAACCCGTCCCAACTGAGAACCTAGTTAAGAACCTAGGAACAGTTCAGCATAGAGGGAGCAGAGGGTCTTTTTGTTGTTGTTGTTGTTGTTTATCTCAGTTTTCTTTCTGATACTGTGATTAAAAACACCCTAACAAAAAGCACCATAGGGGGAAAGGGATTTATTCAGCCTATAATTCAGGGTTATAGTCAGTCATTGTAGGGAAGTCAAGACAGGAACCTGAGATAGCCGGTTACGTGACCGCCACAGTCATGAATGCATTCTTGTTCACTGGCTTGTTTATGTTCCCCTGGCTTTCTCCACTCACACAGTTTAGAAACTCTGCAGTGGCGATGGTTGGACCCATATCAAGAAGTTTAATTAAGATAATCCTCTACAGACTTGTACCAACCCAGTGTACACAATCCCTTATTGAACTGCATTTCTGTGTGATTATAGTTTATGTCAAGTTGACTGTTAGAGCTAATCGTTTGTCGGCTTGACACAGAAACGTGTCACTTTTAAGCCATAGCCACTCATACCTAAAGTCTCACTGAAGGTCTGAGGGAAAAGTTCAATTGGTAAAGTACCTGCCATGAAAGTATGGAGACCTAATTCGGATCCCCAGTACCTATATAAAGGCCTCTTGTGCTGATGTGTTTGTAATCTTAGTGCTAGGGGTAAGGCTAGAGACGGGAGGATCCCCAGAATTCACTGGGCAGCCATTGCAGACCATTGATGAGTTCCCTATTTAGTATGAGACACTGTCTCAACAAATAAGATGAAGAGAGATGGAGGAAGATACTCGACCTCTGGCCTGTACATATACATGTGCATACACAGAAACATGGATATGCATACCCTACACACAGAGATTAAAAATTAAATTTAAAAAATGATAAAATGATACTTGTGAGGTTCTTAGGGCTGAACTCAAAACAAAACAAAATAAAACAAAAAACACCCAAAACCAAAAAAAAAAAAAAAAAACCCAACCACCACCAACAACAACAAAACAGCCTGGGCCACATTAGTTCATCTAAGAGAATCATATCTGTGCCTTTCCATCCATCCCTGGCAAACTTCTGGGTTCTATAGATTGTTTCCTAGTGATTATCAGGGATGAAAAATCTTAATGCAGTTAGTAAACAAAAAATTCAATCAAGTATCCCAAGGTCACCATAGCTCCCAGCCATGTTTGATTTGGGCTCCCGTAATCTTAATACATACATCACTTATATTTCATATCATTTGTCACTAGAGTAGTTCCATGATGTCCAGAGGCCTAGTCACATGTGAAAAGGCAAGATCTCTATTGGCAATTAGGAGTTTGAAGATGGAGAAAGCAGAACATCAAGACAAGCATGTACCACTTCTAAGTAATGGATCTTGTGTGATTGCTCATGTTGAATACCCATTAAAGCCAGCCCCCCCCCCCGCCGCCAAAATGTAAAAATAAAAGACTCTCACACTGGAAAATCTGTTGACATGGGATCTGTATCTCCAAATTGCTGCACATAATTGGCTCCTGCCAAATAGTAATTTACATTAGCTTGATGGAACTATCATAATCAAATGCCACAAAATCCAGTGGTTTAAACAAAGGCAATCTATCACCTCACAGTTTGAGTCTCAAATCTGAGATCAAGGTTAACAGCAGGGATGGTCTCTTCTGAGGATCTTTCCTTGGTTCGTATCTGGTCTCTTGTCTTTGTATCTGGTCTCCCTGTCCTTGTGTCTTTATATGGTCTAGCTCTATATGTGTCTCTGTCAGCATTTGGTCCACCTCAGTCACCTTAGATTAAGGTTTCACTCTCAAAGACATAATTATGTCTCTAAAGAACCTGTCTCCTAGGCTGATGACATGGCTCAGCAGGTAAAGGTGCCTGCTGCCAAGATCAAAATGCATCAAAATGCGATCCCTGGAACCCAAAATGTGGAAGACCAACCCTAAAAGTTGTTCTTTGACCTCCATAAGTACATATACAAAACAAATAAACAAGTAATAAATAATTGTTTTTTTTTAAATGAGCCTATCTCCAAATACAACCACATTCTGAAGTATGAGGGGTTAGAACTGTAACATATGAATTTTGGAAGCTTGTATTTTAGCCCTGACATAGTTGTTTCCTTTAAAGGGGGACACAGTGCTCAGAATCACTGCATTAGCCATCTGGTAAACCCTTCTCACCCAGGATCTTCCCCTTTGTGAGACAGGAGTCAGTTACCACAGCCATCTCATCTGTATCTGTGTGCTGTTCTTCCTCCTGGCTCACCTCTTTCAGAAGGAGATCAACTCCTCCAGAGACTACGTCATTTTGGACAATACCTGCATACTTTAGTCACAGCTACAGAACTAAGGTTGCTGCTCAAGTATTCTTTACAGGGCAATCACAAGATCCCTAGTAGTGATGATAATAATAAACTGTGCCCATTGCACAGAGATAACAGTTGAAAGGCAGTGCAGAAGGAAGAAGCTGCCCAGAGGCATAACCGACTGACTGATCATGTTAGAGACAAGACATTCAGGTTTGAGGAGTGGAAAACTCTCAGTGGCGCCATAATTCTTCCCCGGGGCTGATCACCTGACTAGGGGAGGAATGGCTGTAAATTTCAATGGCAACTCAGTCTGGTCTTCATACCTATTTGCAGAAAAATGTTAGCCAGATTATAGCTGAAAACCCTGCTAATTCTGGGGAAGTTTTTGGTCTAGTGCCTGGAACAATTAGAGCATGTATTCACACCTACCACATGCGACACTGAGCAGAATTTCCAGCACGACACTTAGTACTTTATTTTTAAAAGAAATAGCAGCGATTGAGTTGAGCTCACTCTCCAGCTTTCTAGCTGGGTTTTCACTTGAGACTGGAGGGTGAGGGGCTTCTGAGCTGAAAAGAGATACATTTTGCGCTTTTAAAAATCTTTGCTCAGAATCAGGAAAGTTTGGATGCTGAAATGCGCCTGCACCTGCAAAGAAATTAACAAATTCCATTTGCAAGGCTCTGAGAAAAGATGGCTCAGTGTACCACTTATTCAACACTGGAGCTTAAGGGAGCCCTTAAAACATTTTATTCAAAACTACTTGCTTTTAAGAGAAGGAACAAGGGGTTCTGAAATTTCAAATGGCTCCCCTCAAACTAGAACATTACCCACAATGCAGAGTTGTTTGTAGACGGGTGCACTCCTCACCAAAAGGGATTGCTTTTAAGCAGGCTTTGTCCTGGTAGCCTAAATTTTATGCAAAGAAAACCAAATAAAACAAAGTAGCCTCGGCATGCACACGCACGCGCGCACGCACACACACACACACACACGCAGAGAGAGAGAGAGAGAGAGAGAGAGAGAGAGAGAGAGAGAGAGAGAGGAGTCTCTAAGACTACAGAATCGAGAAAGTAAGGACAAATTCTACTCCAACGTGCTTAGCAAACAGAAGAAACTTTTCTGTGGTTGGTTTTGGAAGCTCATGGCTGCTGATCCCCACACAGGTCTCTGGAATATGATTCTAACACCAGGGGGCGCAGTATCCTTTGTCCTGGTGTCTTTCAGAGCCTCAAGACAGTCTCTGAAGCCTTGCTGGGCTTAAGAAACTTGATTTTCCTCTACTTACATACTTTCTTCTCGGAACTAGCTGATTTCCCAGGCTCCTTCATCTCTTCTCCTTCCTTCTTAGAGTCCATCAGATTCTCCAGTCTTGTGTGCATGCTGCATGCTTTAGCAAGAAGGGCTAGCAGCTCCTTCCCGTGGCTGTGCCTCTGCTTAGCCTAGGAGACCTTACCAGTGGCCTATTATTTCTTCTCATCAGGCCCCTAAAGAAAGCTGCAAAACAAGGTTTGTTTGCTTGTTTGTTTGTTGTTGTTTTTTTTTACATTAAGGCAAAATGAGCATCATGTGAGAAAAGGCACATACTCACTCTTTCCAGTCACAAAAGAAATATAACAAATGAAATAATTGATTCTGGGAAGCTGTTTCCCTCTGAGAGGTATGTGCCCCCAGCAGTCTATGGCTGGCTTTTGGTATTAAATACTTACCAAAGGGACTGGCCTAACCATCTTTCAAGGCGTATCTCAGCTACTTCCAGCCACCCACTCTCCACAGGGTACCCATATCCCTCTATGTCCTAACCAACTTGTCTTCAGCAGAAAGAAATCCACTTCACACATGCTAAAGTCTTCCCAATATGAAAGACCCAGCACTCCTATTCCCACAGATAAACGAGAACCTCCTTCCACTCAGTAACCATCAACCACCAAAAGCCTAGCCTTTGGCAAAGTCCCCAAACCTGCTCAATGTGCAGCTCAACCTTTAACTTCAGCTCTCAGGAGGTAGAGACAGGCAGATCTCTGTGAAGCTGAGACTAGTCTGGCCTAAATAGCCAATTCTAAGAGAGAGACACCTCCTCTTCATCTCAAGAGAAAAAAAATCCAACCCAATTCTCCATTGTTCCAACTGCACAGAGGGTCCTCAAGACATCTTTGAAAAGCAGCAATTACATTTAGAGAGAGAGAGAGAGAATTTAAATTTGCACAGTTCTTTTTCTTGTCTCTCATTGAAGTCTTCCAACAACTCTAAGGGATAGTCAGGGAAATCCATAGCTTAATAGGCATTCCTTAGCCCTGGCCTACCACAGGGTGGAGGCAGCCTTAGGGTCTTGGTCATGAGGCTTGGAGGTTTGTACAATTACACCAAGGCCTAGGAAGAATACGATCATTACAGATAATTATTAATATGGCCTCGGTTTCTGAAGTCATGTAGCAATTTTAGCTCCTGAATAGGACAGAAAGAAAAAGAGGAAAGGGGGGAAAAAGTTGATAGCAACTCTCATCTTGTAACTTTTTTGATATCAATGTTTCACTCACGTATTTCACCTATGTTTTATTAGTTCACAGAGAGCAATGGGCAGGGTTGAGTCTGGGGACAGGTAGCCATGTTTTGTTAGCTTGAAAGCCTTCCTTTCCCTACTCATAAAACGATGTTAACATGTGTTAGGTACATACTCGGCCACTGAAATGAAAACTATAGATGGTATTTTGGGAGAAAGAGTGAAGTTGAAGGCTTTCACTTTCAGTTTATGTTCTTTTATATTACTTGAAGAATTTCGATTTATGCCTGTCTTCCTCTTACATCTTTTCCATTTGTTTGGGGCTGATGAGACTCGTTGGAGCTGCTAGGAAGGTGACGTATGTAACATGTCTGGATGGCACGTGCTCTGGCACACAGTTGATACTCACCAAACAGTAGCTCTTTGTCAGCTTTTGCACCTCCTTCAAATGGAGCAAATGGACTCCAAACCCAAGATGTCCTGAGGCTGCTCCAGCCCCTGCTCTCAGCTTCTCCCGCATTCTTAGGTCAAATCCTTTTCCTGTACCTCGGTTTCTCCAAAATGACAACATAGAGCCCAGTTGATTTGGAAAGCTGTGGGAAATCCAAGACAAACTGCTCATCACCCAAAACTTCCTGAGATGCTATATACAACTTAGTCACACTCTGCAGGAGGAGGTCTCTCAAGCTTGGGCTTAGCAGACACAGTGCTTCTTAGAAGAAACTGCCGTGTAGGCTGTGTTGAAAGGGTCAATCAGAGACAACTGAGCAATCTCCAGGACAAGTACAGAAAGTAAGGAAACAGATGACTTGTGAGTCTTGTATAAGGTCATCATCTTGACATCCTCCATTCCCTAGGATGAATTCTGCTTTAGGGTCTAGGACTGAACCCAGACCTTCCCTCATCGAATGTACCCCCTCCCTCCGGCTTTGAACAAAACAAAAGGAAGATACTGCTCACAAGAGTTAAGCTAAACGCCTCTCAAATTTCTTCCAATGGTTCCCTTTATCTGAACAAGCACAGAGGGGATAGGGCGGGGCAAAGGAGTCGGAGTCGAAGGATAAACCAGACTCTTACCTTGCTTCCCTTTAACAAATGGTCTTCAGGGACCCATCTGCATATACACTATACACGGTTTCTAAAATCGAACAGAGGTCTGGGATCCAGCTGATATCCTGCTCTAAAAGGGAGAATTTCTAGGTGTCTCCTTTTTCTGCCTTTGGGCTTTGGTGGGCTAGAAGCAGGTAGCCTGATCCTTGGGGAAGGTTGTGACTTTCTTTTTGCCTGCCTGGGTCTGTCTCTCTCCTATTTAAAGCAGCACCGCCTGTCACGGCAGCTTGGTGCCAATATTTGTGGGCAGATTTTCTGACATTGTAAGGGGAGTGTTTGGAGCAGATGGAAAGCCCTTTCCCAAGGCCATTGAACAGAGTAGAAATCAGTTTCACCCATACCCGAAAGGAATCCTCAATCCCCAGCCACAGTCAGCACCCCAAAACACAATCTCTCTCTCTCTCTCTCTCTCTCTCTCTCTGTGTGTGTGTGTGTGTGTGTGTGTGAATTAGGAAGGAGAGATTGCTCCCTGTCTTTGAATTATGTGGGCAATGCCTGTTAAAATTTGCATCTCTCCCTAAAGTCCCCACTGCTAGTAGTGCCTGCAACTCTTGGGGCATCTAGAATAACAGTAGCGCAGTATACTGACACCTGGAAGACCCTTTTAATGAGACCTTGAGATAGGGAGGCGATTTGCACCAAGGAGTAGGCAGGTAGCAACTGATGATCTCCAGAGGCAAAAGCCAATAAATAAACACGGCTCCAACCAGCACACTCTAACAACGCCTGTTCCACGTAATTCTGTACTTTTAGAGAGCCACGAATGTTTTACTTTACAAGTCTCTTTCAAAGGCATCCCCAAAAGTCTGACCACTTGTTAAAATGTCTCTGCTTGGTTTTCTACATGGTTCTTTTCTGCACCCACTTTGTATCTTTAGTAAGCAGCATTGTTTATTATCCTCCGGTCTGTGAGCCCCCTCCCCCCATTGAACTGAAATAAAGCAGCGGCTTCGGAGCGGAGCTCTGAAAATTATTCCAGGCTTCTCGGCTGAAGAGGGTCTCCCAGCAGAGACCCGCTTGGAGAGAGCCCACCCGCAAGTATGCGCTGGGAAACTTTGTAAGAGTTTTTAAAGGCACCCGAGAGGTCGGGCAGCCCAAAGCTCTGGTGACCCAGCGTAGAAAGATGTAAACAGAGAAGGGAAGTGTCAGGAAGGACAGGGAGACGAGCTACTTGCGAGCAGATCGAGCGAATATTGCCAGGATGATTAACTGCGGGTGGGAACCTGCGGCGCGCTAAGAGAGCGGAGAGAGACATCTTTTAGTTCGCTGGCTCAATCTCCTCCACCATTCCTGTGTGATGAAGTCTCACTAATAATTTCTCTCCGTTCCACACACGTAGCGCTATGGTCTTCACTGTAAAAAGGAGTGCTCTCAACAATTTAAGGCTTATCCGCTTTCTTCCCCCCTCCAGTTTCCTAATATCTATTCCCATTTCGTTTGCAGCCAAATAAATAAATGGTGACCGGGAAGGACAAAAAAAAAAAAAATCACACGGCCTTAGAAAACTAAATGCACACATTCCCCAAGTTGCTTATCTCCTCTGATCCTCTGAGGGGACTTTTGGTATGGCTCTTCCAAATATTCCAAGTCCAGTGGTGTTTGCTACCCCCCAAAAAAAATAAACCAAAAAACCTCACAAAATAAAAACAAAAAACAAACAAAAAACTAGGAACCCGCATCAGAAACTCTCGATGGAAAAGCCTGAGCCCCATGCCTCCAGCAGCCTCACTGCAGTTGGGCTGCCTGGAAGCCTAGAAAATTTGCGGCAGAGCCGCACTGTGCCCAGCACTTTCCAAGTGAAACTTCAGTCCCAGTGATCTTTCCAACAGGTCCTGGGACTTATAAGCCTGCCTGTCCCCAGCTTCTAAAAATCTTCCCCACGGGCTCTGCAGGTCCTGGTAAGTTGACCGCTCTTCTACCGCTGGATTAAGAAAGTGTGTCTGCTCCTTGGGGCAGTGGCTTTCTTCCCGCAAAGTGGCCTAGAAGCTCCGGGCAGCCCTCAGGCAGTGGCAGGATAGCATCCGTTGCCTGCTCCTTGGAGAAGTTGAATGAATTTCCGCGTAGGGAGAAACATTAAGAGTTGGTGTGTACCGTAGGGGGCGGGAGCATAGCAAGCTGCCCCCGGCTCTTTGTTTTTGAGAGTCCGACGTGCTCTAGTCTCAAGAATCCACCTCACCGCTTCATAGTGAATCATAGAGAATCGTGCCGAGATTCGGCTGCATGGGGCTGTCTTTAGTTTCTGCAGACCGAGGAGCTAGCACAGTTCTCCGGCACCGCCAGACTCTGCTGCTACTGCCGCTCGCTGCTACTGCCGCTCGCAGCCCTTCAGCCCCGGTGTCCCTTCTCTGAACACCCCCTGAACAATTCCACCTCTCCCAAACTGCCTAAGGAGAGGAGGATCGGATTTATAGGCTGCAGTGTGCCCCAACAGGTAGTTTCACCTGGCCTGGATTAAATATCAAAGTCTGGGCCTTGCGTGGGCAGTCGCGAAATTGGCCCAGGACACAGACTTTTATTCGGGGAACGAAAAACGGCGATGTGAGAGTCACTTAAGACAATCATGTTTTCTCTTCACTCTTCAACTTATCCCCAAACAACGAGTGCTGATCCGTTAGGAACGAGGCTCAGCGAGCCTAAATAACTGGCTTCCAGCTGCAAGCCCACAGGCGATTTGATTTACCTCCCACCCCCAGATAGTTACTAAAGAACCCTACTCCGCTTTAGAGAGAGATGGGATCCTTTCGGGAGATCCTTCCTCAAAACGCCCTAGCCTTGGACAAGGAGGGTGCGCTGCGCTGCGCTTGGAACATTGTGCGTTCTGATGGTGCGCTGAGCACTGAGGGAAAGCGATGTGCCGGTCTAGCGCGTGGAACCCGTGAGCCTCGCGTGCACCGAGATTCATGATTCTTTCCAGAAGCCCAGGGAGAAGTTGGTGGCCGGTTTGCACTATCTGGGGCCAGCATAACCCTCTTCCCCCAGGGTGTGCTAGCCAGAATCCTTCTCCTGGGGTCGTGGGTGCTCGTGGTGCGCAATGACCCAAGGCAAAGTCAGGAAACCACTATCGGTAGCCTAAAGATTCCCGCGCACGCCATCCTCGCAGGATGGGAGAGATCGGGGACTGGGCCCCTCAGGAGGGACGATTTAAGATTGTCTTGGGAGATGGACTTTCCCAACTCCTTCTCTGAGCCCTTTTTTAGTGGGGCCTTTTGCCATCTAAGCCAGGAATCCTGGTCTTGCCCTACCTCTCTCTTTAGGAACCAGCTCAGGCTCCCCGCTGTCATCAGGAGCTGTGGGCAGAAGACCTTGGACTCTTTGATTTTTTTTTTTTTTAAGGATAGCAAGGTCTGGCCCTGTGTCCAGTGTTCCAAGAATCCCTCCCTGTCTTCTTCCCAGCTCCCCATCTTACCTGGGGACTGTGGCTAATTCAAAGCCTAGGTCACTGGTCAAGTTACCTAAACTTGCAGTTTTCTGGTGCTTTGACCCCTTAAAGTTTGCTAGCTCTGGCAGGAAGAGTCAAGTAGCCACCCCTTCTCCCTTAGCCTCTCACCCAACAGCCACCTTCATCTTTCCCCCAGTCCAGACCTTGCCGGCAGAAGAGCTGGAGTTCCCACAAACATAGGCTTGCTGTCTCTGGCTGTCCACGAAGTTCTTTTCTTCGCACTCCCCTCTGTGAGGCCCTCACCGCTCTGCCCTCTCCACCCCCATCTCGCTTACAGCGAGGACTAGTTTGGGCTTCGAATTTATTTTGTCTTGCTTTAATTTTGTTTAAGATTCCACCCTGCCTGAGCCTGGAGCACAGCTTTCCAGTTTTCCAGTCAGGAGCTCCGGAAGATAGACCCTTCAAGCAGGGCATGTTGTCCATCCATGGAGGCCTGGGGACTCCCTGACTAGTTCCCTGGCCTAGCTTCCTGGGATACCCCACCTTTTCATACACACATACAGCAGGGCTGTGCACGAGGCAGATGTGGGTATTTAGGAAGCAGGAGTAGGTAGCATTGTAGAGGACACCATGTTCTATCACTGTCCCAAGCTCTTAGCACACTGGAGAACTGGAGGTGACCAAGTTCACTCCCCTGGGGTTGCCCAGCCCAGCTTGCTGAACCTAAATAAGTGACTTTGAACACAGACAAGACCTCAGCTTGCTTGATTGGTGGCTTGATGTGTTATTTTGTCTAGGATTGGTGAAGTTTGATATTTAAGGGGGTCCAAATTTACTACCTGGAGGCTTCAACTTCCAAGACAAGAAGCCCAGGGGAAAGTACCAGAGAAACTAGATCTCTTGTGTGCTTTTGGGGCTCCTGCCCAAGGCATGGCTGCCTACTCCTGGGTCAGAAGATGCTAGGCCAGCTTTTCTAAAACACCACGACTTTATTGGAAGTGAAATGGAACTTGGTGATGACCCTCACTTAGCCTTCATTCTCCAGAGGAGCATGCTGACTCCTACCCTCAGGCACAGAAGACACCTGGCCAGAACCATATCCTG